GGACCCTTTACAAAAAAAAAAAAAAAAAAAAAAAAAAAAAAAAAGTGCCATGGCGTTCAGGTGGAGGTCAGCGGACAACACTTAGGGGTCACTGTTCTCTTTCCATCATATGTGTCCCAAGGATTGAACTCAGATGGTCAGGCTTGGCAGCAAGTGCTTTTACCTGAGGGACCACCTTGAAATCTCCCTGAAGCTCCAGCTGGTCTGGTACTTGCTATGTAAACCAGGCTGGCCTTGAACTCACAGAGATCCACCTGCCTCTGCCTCCCCAGTGCTAAATTTAAGGGCGTGTGCCACTACACCTAGCTTTATTGTTTCGTTTTTTAATATTTTATTATGTTTATTTTATGTATATGAGTATATTGCCTGCATGTATGTAAGTGCACCCGTGTCATGCAAAGCCCTCAGAGGGAAGCCAGAAGAGGGTGTCAGATTCCCTGGAACTGGAATTGCAGATACAGTGTTAGCTGCCATGTGGATGCTGAGTATCAAACCCTGGTCCTCTGCAAGAGCAGCCATGCCCTTAACCTCTGAGCTATCACTCCAGCCCTGTTTGTTTACTGGTTTTGTTTTTTTGAGACAGGGTTTCCTTGTAGCCCCAGCTAGCGTGAAACTATGGAGACCAGGCTGGCCTCCATCTTACAGAGATTAACCTGCCTGTCTTCTAAATGCTGGAACTAAAGGTGTACACCACCACATCCAGCAGCATCATAGGCATTTTTAAAGATTTATCTTATTTTGCTGGATGTGGTGGTACATGCCTTAAATCCCAGCACTTGGGAGGTAGAAGAAGCAGGCTGATCTCCTGAGATTGAGGCCAGCCTGGTCTGGATAGCAGGTTCTAGGCCAACTGGGGCTGCAGGGAGACCTTGTCTAAGAAAAATTAAAGACAAAACAAAACCAACCAAAACAAAAACAAAAGATTTATCTATTTTTAATTATGTATATGTGTGTGTGTGCCTGTGTGTGGGTTTGTGCACATGAGTGCAGTTGCCCATGGAGGTCAAAAGAGGGTGTCACATCCCCTGGAGCTGTAGTTGCAAATGGTTGTGAGTCGCCCAACATGTGTACTGGGAACTGAACTCAGGTCTTTGAAAAGCAAGTCCCATTAACTGCTGAACTACCTCTCCAGCCCCATCATAGGTATTTTCTAAAGGAGTAATCTGGGGGTATAGTTCAAATGGTAGAGTGCTTGCCTAATATATACAAAGGCCTTGGGTTCAATCAGTAGCCAAGAGAAAGGAAAACAACAACAACAACAACATAAGTTCTGATATGGGTATATATGTGTAAGGCAAAGTCTAGCCTATTTAGATAGTAGTCATCTGTTAGTAATTAGTGCAAATGACTTCCTCAACCCAGTCTCTTTTTCTTCTACCTCTAATACTTTAGCCTTCCTGACCATAATAGATCGTTTTCCCTCCCTCCCTCCCTCCGTCCCTCCCTCCTCTTTTTATGAATTTATTTTATTCTATTTTATTTATTTATTTATTTTTGGGTCTTTTTGAGACAGGGTCTCCCTGTAGCTCCAGCTGGCCTGGATTTGCTATGGAGACCAGACTGTCTATTTTAGAATCTCACTATGTGGCCTGGAACTCTATGTAGACCAGGCTGGCCTCAAATTCAGAGATCTGCCTACCTCTGCCTCCTGAATGCTGGGATTAAAGGCATGTGCCACCACACCCAGATTCATTTTATTTATTCATTTATTTTTAATTTATTATTTTTATTTTATGTGTATGCGTGTACTGTCTGCATGTAGATAAGCGCACCCATGTTGTGCAATGCCCTCGGAGGACAGAAAAGGCTGTCGGATCCCCTGGAACTGGAGTTAGGGCAGTTGTTAGCTGCCATGTGGGTGCTAGGATTCGAACCCGGGTCTTCTGCAAGAACAACCAGTGTTCTTAACCACTGAGCCATCTCTCCAGCCCTTATTTATTTTTTTAAAAAGAAATATTTTATTATTTTTATTTTATGTGTATGCACGTATTGCCTGCATGTAGGTAAGTGCACCATGTTGTGCAGTGCCCGTGGAGGACAAAAGAGGCTGTCGGATCCCCTGGAACTGGAGTTATGGAGAGTTGTTAGCTGCCATGTGGGTGCTAGGATTCGAACCCGGGTCTTCTGCAAGAACAGTGTTCTTAACCGCTGAGCCATCTCTCCAGCCCCAGCTTTATTTTTTAAGATTTATTTTTATTTATTTGTGTATATGTGATCACAGAGGCCAGAACTCCTGGAGCTGGAGTTCCAGGCAGTTGTGAGCCACCCAGTGTGGGTGCTGGGAACTGACCTATCTTCCCAGCCCTGGTTTTATCTCTTTTGGCTTTATTTATTTAATTTATTTATAGACAGGGTCTTGTTATGCTTCTGAACTTAACCTGTAACTCACAAGGCTGGCCTTGAACTTGACTAGATTCTCCTATCTGAGCCTTCAAGAGTACTATGATTACAGGCATATCTCATATCTCCTGCCCAGTAGTGGAATCTTTTTGTTTTTCTTCCAGATAGGAAGCTCTGGCTGGCCAAGCTGCCCTCAAACTCCCAGAGATCTACCTACTTCTTACACCACACCACAATAGTAGAATCTTTTTCTTTTATTTCTTTCTTTTTTTTTTTTTAAAGAGATTTGTTTTGTGGGGGGTTGGCTGGAGAGATGGCTCAGTGATTAAGAGCCCTTTGTTGCACCAGAACCCACATAGCAATTAACAATCTTCCTTAACTCCAGTTCCAGGGGATCTGATTCCTTCTGGCCTCCAAGGGCACTTCAGGCACTTATAGACATAAAATAAAAATAAAAATTTTTAAAGTTTATTTAGTTTTTTGACAGGGTCTCCCTGTAGCCCCAAACTGGCCTGGGACTCCCTATGTAGATGAAGCTGATCTTGATTTCACAGAGAGAGATCTACTTGCTTCTGCCTATTGAGTATTGGCACCATGCCCAACAAAATTTTTATTTATGTGTATATGCATGTGCTATGTGCCCACAGGTGCCCGTGGAAACCAGAAGAGGGCGTTAGATCCCCTGGAGTCAGAGTTACAGAAAATTGTGAGGTGCCGGAATAGGTGATGGGAAATGAACTCAGGTTTCTGGAAGCACAGCGAATGCTCTTAACCAGTGAGTCGA